GGTCAAGTTTTTAAGCTTTGCTTTGCATCCATGAAGGCTAGAGTACTTTTTTTTTTTATTTAAGCTAAGCTCCTGCAATGATCATGTGGCCCCAGGGAGCTTTGGGGTCAGGGCGGGGTAGGAGGCAGCCATGGGCTGAGAGAGCCTTAATCCAGCTCTGAGTCTGCTTTTCTCCCTTGACACTGCTGTCAAATACTTTGGGTGGCTTCACACAGCACAAACCAACGCTGCTATTATCTTCATCTTCCCATCCTCCCTACACAACATACACAAGAGAGTTTAGGCTGGGAACGCAGCTCTTTAATCTCCAACAAGCCTTTGACAACCTGTCTCTTCCTGGCTTTTAGCTGTGTGAGAGCTGCTCACTAATGGAGCATTAACCTTGGAGAGCTTCTGCAATTACTCCAACACTAATTCTGACAGTTTTTGGTGTATCTGTTTGTTCTTTTGACAGGCAAAAGGAATTTCTTTTTAAAAGCTGTTTGATACATTTGAGACCTTCTGTCCATAGTTTCTTTTTTTGCTGGAGATTTGGAGATGGGGGAGGGGGGAGTTGAAGGCAATGAGTTATGAGATACAGAGAGACAGAGTCTTCTTATAGATAGATCAGTATGGGCAGAAGTCAAGATATTCTCCCCCCCCCCTCCTCTTTTAAGTGACAGAAGCGTTTGGTCTCTCCTGACCTCATTAGGGTAATTAGTAAACCTTTTGAAGCTGGGAGAATGGCTGTGGGAAAGTGAGCCGAGCAGAGTGCTTTTAAAAACAGTGTGTTTGCGTTGGGGGAAGGGGTGAAAAATCATCTCCAATTGTATTAACGGTGACCTGCAAAGACGGGAGAGTGAGGAATACGCTACTGCTTTCTTTGTCCCCTGCTCTGTGCTATGAAGTTGGCCTGAATCTGTCCCCAGACTGCCCCTCAAAAAGAGGATTTTACATTAGAAAGTCAGGTCTTGGCTTCTCTGGGAGACTCTGCGGGTGACTGGAGAACTGGAAAGAGGAAGAATGATCGTATGGCAAAGGCACTGCGCTGGGACTCAAAAGATCTGGTTTCAATTACTAGAATCATAGAGGATTAGGGTTGGAAGAGACCTCAGGTAGTCATCTAGTCCAACCCCCTGCTCAAAGCAGGACCAACAGCAACTAATTCCCAGCTCTGCTACTGCCTCCCTGTGGGGGCTTCGGCAAGTCACTTCATCTCTCTGTGCCTGTCTATTGTAACAAAAAGATAATACTGCCTTTGTGAGCTCCCTGTAGCCGGGTCTGTCTCATGTCCATACAGCGCCCAGCCCAACTGGGATTCAGTTCGAGCCTTTAGGTGCTGCAGTAACATAACCCTAACCGAAAGAGGAAAGGATTTTATTCATAATCAGAACGGTCTTCACCGAAACTTATCTACCTCAAACACCTGGGAGGCGGGGAGGGAGGCTCCATCCCTGCCTCTTCCAAGAACAGCTGAGAGAGCTCCCAAAGCATTTAAGTCAGCTAAGAAGCCATCCACCAATGAAAGGGAACATGAGACTTGACAATCCTCAGATTTACAATGGATGGGAGTCTAAAAACCCTTTGAGAAAAACTAACCTTTCCAGTCGTCTGTGTAGACCACAAAGGGCAGGAACCCAATCACACCCCCACCCTTTAAATAGGGAGTGTTGGGTGTGGACGAGAAAAATGGGCTTATCTGCCCTCTGCTATGAAGTGGGTTAATGCAGTGACCCAAGTGCCCTGTAAGAAAAAGTCCAGGAGAGAAACTAGAACCTGGCATTTAAACTGATAGATCCATGGCTCCTGCTGTAACTTCTAGGTATCGTTCTTGACATTTATATAACAATGGTGCCCAGAGGCCACCCCCAGGTCCTACTGTGCTACAGCAACAGACTGTTCCTGCCCGTTGTGGGCACCACCATGTTAACATTTCCTCCCACGGGGAGTCCGCTGCTTCTTGTAATCTCTTGTAACCTTTATGCAGAAATGTTCCCAGTTGAAGTTGCCTCAGGAGTCGGTGTGAGGAAAGGGATCCCCACCCAAACCATTCTCCAGGTCTGTCTGCCAGATGAGAGTGTCTAAAACTTCGGACAGAACTGTCACCTTGACCTTGCCGTTTATGTACATGGACAGAAGCCAGGCTTATCGGCAGCGAAGATGAAGCCTGGCGAACAGCATCGCATGTGTGCATGACGCCCTGTGGCCGAGGAGGGAAAGGCAAGTTCTGATGGATGTCCTGGCATTGATAGTGACCTGATGTAGGAGAGCACTCGCAGCCTGAAACCTCTCGAGGGGTAGACACGTTCTAACTGTAGTCGAGTCCAGCGTGATCCTATAAAATGTATGAACCTCATGGGGGCCATTGTGGATTTTTTGTGATTGACACAGCAACTGGCTGAGAAGAACACTGGCTGCCCACTGGACTTCCTTGTAGGCACCGCCCATCAGAAGCCAGCTGAGGTAGGGGAAGACTGAGAACCCCTCTCTTCTCATACAAGCTGCCACTACTGAAAAAAACCTTGTAAACACCCTGGGAGCTGTAGCTAGACCAAAGGAGAGGACTCCAAACTGGTAATGTTCTTGATCAAAGAGGAACCTGAGGAATTTCCTATGGGCTCGGTGGTTGTCTATGTGAAAATGTGTCTCTTTCGTATGAAAAGCCGAGAACCACATGCTCTCCTCTAATGAAGGAATTATCTAGGAGATCATGCGGAATTTTGGTTTTCGAAAGAACCTGTTCAGCTGTCTCAGACAGAGAACCGCCCTCCATCCCCTATTCTTCTCAGGGCTCGGAAATTAAGGGGGATAGAATCCCTTCCCTTGATATTGAGGTGAAACCCTTTCTATGGAGGGGAGGGATAGCTCAGTGGTTTGAGCATTGGCCTGCTAAACCCAGGGTTGTGAGTTCAATCCTTGAGGGGGCCACTTAGGGATCTGGGGCAAAAATCTGTCTGGGAATTGGTCCTGCTTTGAGCAGGGGGTTGGACTAGATGACTTCCTGAAGTCCCTTCCAACCTGGGATTCTATGATAGAATCTCCTCATGAGACTGATCCCTGAACAGGAACCAGGACGGAGGTTTGTGGGTCGGACGTACCAGAAACTCGATCAGGTAACTGCCATGAATAATCTCTAATACCCATGTGTCTGTAGTTAGGGCCCTCCGGTTTTTCACAAATTGGGTAAGCCGACCTCTGAATGTCAGAAGAGGGGAATGAAGCGGCATCAATAAAAGGATGTGGGTCTCAACAGTCCATCAAAAGACGCTCTTCACGTGGGGTTAGCGCATGATGTGGTGGTGGATGTTGCAGAGGCAGGGTTTCTGGGTCTAAAAACCCTCTGTCTCTTGCGTGATGGCTCCTAAGGACATTGGTGGTAAAACAGCTGAAGCGGTGGTCTAGCCCTCTACCCGTCTATGGTGTTTGCTCTTCAGAGCAGGGATATAAACACCCACCTAGCAAAGCATTGCTCTCAAGGCTTTGAGGGAGTTGGAGAGACTCATCCATCTTCTTGTGGAATAAGCTGACGGTATCGAAGGGCAGATCTTGGATAGCACTCTGCACCTCTCTAGGGAAACCTGAGGATTGTACCTGTGAGTATCCCCTCATAACAATAGCCATCCCCCTAGATGCAGTATCTGCTGTGTCCACCACGGCTTGGAGGGACAGCCGCTGAGGGTCTGAGCCTGATTGGGGGCTTTTGGGTGCCGAAAAACAAATGTTTATTAAGAATAAGGCTAAAAATAAGGCAAATCTGCACTTCAGAGCAAAAAGTACCAGTTTTGGAGAAGCCGTGAGATGGCAGATCACCAGTCCAACCACGTGGAATACTCAGTCACCTCCAAAACCGTTTCATGAAAACCTTAATGCAGCCACAATGACAACAGGAAGAGATCTCAACGAGCGAACCCAGACACTGCTTTGAATACGGGCAAAAGATTTAAGCATGACACACATAAAAGCTTTAACAAAGACTGCACTGACATGAGAGGAATGTATTAAGGCACCAGCACAATACATATCATAAATAATTACAATGGAAAAATTGTATTTGCTGGGGAAGAACACCACAACCTATGCAACTAGATATTATTGGAGGGGTCACTGCTTTTACAGAGGGGGCCACTGTCAAGTTTAAAAAAATCACTGTAATTTATCAAGATTTTTAATCACCCATCACCATGGCATCTGAGCTCCTTCCACAAGAAGTAAAAACCCCAACTCCGTACCGGTGTTAACTAATGCCACATTAGAGTACTATAACTAAAAGCACTCTAGGAGTTTAAACAATGTTTTGCCGTGTACCGTCCTTACATTGTGCAAAGCTACGTGAGTTACAAATGCAAATTTTTAACAGTGAGGGTAATTTACCACTGGACCATATGACCAAGGGATGTGGTAAATTCTCCATCACTTGAGACTCTAAATCAAGACTGAAGTTCTTCCTAACAGAGATGTTCTATTTTAAATGATTGGGCTCCACGCAGGAATCACTGGCCCGTGCGCCGCAGGAGGCTCAGACTAGATAATCTACAAATCTAGACAGTTTCACTTTCTGGTGCTCATGACCTAGCAAGAAGCTGGAATATTTGGGTTGCAAACAGGGCAGGGGAGCATTTAAATGCCAACAACAGAACCACCACTGGTTTACGACTGGCCTATAAAGTGTGTCACACAGGGGCTAGCACAAGTTTAACTAAGTCCATCTAAAACACAGTTCTGGCCAATCCAGTGCAAGTTCAGTGAGTGGCCCTGATCCTGTAATTGTTTCCATGTGGGCAGGCCCCCAAGCCCGTATGCAGCCCCAGCACAGCCAACAGGGATCACCACACAGGTGCAGCAGTCTGCCCACATGTAGGACTGGAACTTCATTATGCCATTCAGTGGTCTGATCCACAGGCCATTGAAGCCACTGGAAAGACTCCCATTGATTGCTATGGGGTTTGAACCAGGCCCCCATTCCAGTTGCGTATTGGATTTCACTACCTGTGAGACCTACCAGATGTTTCTTCTCTCAACAGGTATTCTCGGACGTGGGCTTTGGCTTGTGCCTTTGATCCGGCGATGTAAGAAATAAAAGACTAAAATGTAACATCTGAGCCATTCATCTCGAGTTTAATTTTAGGGGCATCTTCTGTGCTCACACAAACTCATTAGAATGCATCAAAAGTACAGCATCCCCTTTAATGTTTACTCCTCCTTAGATTGCAAAAATTGTTGTCTGAATTCCTTCTTCAATTAGCTATGGTACTCAAAAAAATATTGTTCGGTTGCCAGTGGAGTTATGATCAAGTCTTTCCTTTATACTTTTATTCCCTAGTGCGCCTTAAGCAGGGTGGTGAAGGGGGAGAAGAGGGAGAAAAGCACACACACACACACTGCAAAACCACCTTCTTTACAAATTTTTAAAAACAACAATTAACATTTCTAAGGGAGAGTCCTTTGTGGATGAAATGCCACTTCCACCCACTTTTCCATCTTGTAAGGAAGAAAAATAAAGATCAGAAGGAGAATTTAGACTAAAAGCCAACTAAGTAAAGCTAATTTTTTTACACAGAGGAGTCTTGCTAGCTGGAGAGAGGGGCTTTGTTGAGTGGAACAGAAGAGACATTAGAGAACCTACAGCAGATTTTAAAAATACTTCCAGCTATCTTTATGCTGAAGAGGAATGTGCTGTCTGTATTACAATTACACACCGAGCCAACATTTCCGAGCAGATTTGGTACTCCCAGATCATTGCAGGAGCAATGTTTGCAGCTGTGAACTGAGTAAATACAACTACCCCAAATGGCTCCTGCAAATACCCTGTGTGCCTTGCCATGTGGCGGTTTATACATACATAGGGTGACCAGATGTCCCAATTTTATAGGGACAGTCCTGACTTTGGGGTCTTTTTCTTATATAGGCTCCTATTACCTCCCACCCTCTGTCCTGATTTTTCACATTTGCTGTCTGGTCACCCTATACATACATGAGAATCATAGAATCTCAGGGTTGGAAGGGACCTCAGGAGGTCATCTAGTCCAACCCCCTGCTCAAAGCAGGACCAATCCCCAACTAAATCATCCCAGCCTGGGCAGTGTCAAGCCTGACCGTAAATGGTTATAAGCACAAAACTGCAGGCACAAAATTTAGAAGGTGCATGTGGAAGCGCAGCCTGCAGGGGGCACTAGACCACCCCAAAGTTATGCGTTTTGTTTAGCCTTATGGGTGTATGGTAATAACTTAATTGGAGCAGCAAGTACAATATTTTAGCATGAAAATGCAGATATTTTCCTGTTCAATGTCTGAGCGCTGTCTTTTATTCAGTGACACTATAACCTTCCAATTGGAGGATCTCAGAGCGCTTTACGAGTATTAATACATTTACCCTAGGCATTCCTGAGAGGTGACTATTTTTATTCTAGTTTTACTGAACCGGAAACAGGCATAAAGGGGATGTGACTCACCCAAGGTCATGCACTCAATCAGGAATAGAACCCAGGGCTCCAGAATACAGGTCCTAACCACTGGACCATGCCACTTCCCTTCACCAGAATAAAACAAGACTCCAGAATCCTAAACGACAATGCTCACTGCCAGGCTGTGGGGGCAGCGAATAGGGACAATGGAGCAGAAGACTTGAGTTTTCCTTGCTCTGCCACTGACCTGCTGCGTGACCCTAAGACAGGTCACTTCACCTCTCTCTACCAGAGAATATGGGAAATGACTGCCTAGGAAGGAGTACTGCGGAAAGGGATCTGGGGGGTCATAGTGGACCACAAGCTAAATGAGAGTCAACAGTGTAACACTGTTGCAAAAAAAAGCAAACATCATTCTGGAATGTATTAGCAGGAGTGTTGTAAGCAAGACACAAGAAGTAATTCTTCCGCTCTACTCCGCGCTGATTAGGCCTCAACTGGAGTATTGTGTCCAGTTCTGGGCGCCACATTTCAGGAAAGATGTGGACAAATTGAAGAAAGTCCAGAGAAGAGCAACAAAAATGATTAAAGGTCTAAAAAACATAACCTATGAGGGAAGATTGACAAAATTGGGTTTGTTTAGTCTGGAGAAGAGAAGACTGCGAGGACATGATAACAGTTTTCAAGTACAAAAAGGGTTGTTACAAGGAGGAGAGAGAAAAATTGTTGTTCTTAACCTCTGAGGATAGGGCAAGAAGCAATGGGCTTAAATTGCAGCAAGGGAGGTTTAGGTTGGACATTAGGAAAAACTTCCTAACTGTCAGGGTAGTTAAGCACTGGAATAAATTGCTGAGGGAGGTTGTGGAATCTCCATCATTGGGGATTTTTAAGATCAGGTTGGACAAACACCTGTCAACAATGGTCTTAATACTTATTCCTGCCTTGAGTGCAGGGGACTGGACTAGATGACCTCTCGAGGTCCCTTCCAGTTCTATGATTCTATGGTACATACCCTCCCTCATGGAGTGCTTCGAGATTTATTAACAAAACCCCCTTCGTAACAGTTAAGTATTACAGTAGGGTTTGTTTTTGCTAGCAGACCACATTCACCCACACGCAAACCATTGTTCAATCTCTTCCCTGCACTTGATACATAAGCATCATGAAAAACATGGCGAGAGCCCTGCTATAGCAGACTTCTGTAATGCTGCCACCACAGAAGAAGGATGAAAAATAGTTCCCCCTCCATGATATTGCAGTGAGGGGGATCTAGTGCTTCTCTAGGAAGCGCTGCTGCTCAGTTTCAATAGCATTTCAGCAGCGGACAGACGACCATACAGCCAGGAGAGTTTACAGCCATTCAGAAAGTGGCTTGCAGTTCCCATTTTAGGCAGAGAAAGTTGTATCCAGATCACTTTAACGTAAGTTAATATAAAAGCAGGGCAGACCGCTGCGGGCTGGTATGTGTGAACCAAATCCCCCATCAGACAAGCTCAGGCTGTCTCTCCCCCGATCCAGAGAACATACCAATACCAATGGGGGGGGGGGTTCACGATTTTAGCACTCCCATGGATATGTAGGAAGGGTGTACAGAGATTTCATCCACTCCATTCTAGTTCAGCCTTCCCTCTACTACCCTCTCATCTCTTACGTAGGCCTTCTCTCCACTAGAATTTAAAGGTGCAGTTAGCACTGTTCTATCCCAGACACGTTCTTATCCCACCCTCATCACTGGAGTATCGGCAGCACCTTCCCTTAGGGCATCAACAGTATGACTAACCTTGTCACTTGTGGTTCACTTTCTCCCCCAGATGGAAAACTGCAGGTGCAGTGTCGTTTTGCTAGGGTGATGTTCTTGATGTCCATGTTGCTCTGGGTTTATGGTTCAGGAGGCCCCTGAGAGAAGCACCCCGGCACTTGGAGAGGAAGTGGGAAGGTGCGGGATGACCCTGAGTTCCTGCATGAGTTCCTTCCACAGACTCCGAGCAGCCCCCCAGCTCAGGCTCCTTGCTGTAGAAAGTCCCCTGAGAGCAGATATGAGCAGGAAGCCCAGGGCTTAACTCGAACGGTTTAGCAGTTATTAAAAGCCACGTGGCTTGTCTACACTAGACTTTTAAAACATGTTAGCTAACATTACACCTGTAAACTCAACCTGGGCAAGGCCACACTGGCTGCAGCAACCCCAGTTCATACCCAGCCATTACAAAATTCAACTCACAAAATGGGGCCCACAAGCCTACTTCGCTCACCACCATAGACTCAAGGAGTCGGTCTTGCTATAATTAGCTGAATGCGATTTGGAGCAGGGAGTGGCCTTTGTGTGTTTGGAGAGTGCCTGAAGTTATTGATACCCAGTGGCACCAGCATGTAGCAAATTCTCACGGAACCCTCCCATTAATAGCTCTGTGTAACCCTAAAGCTAGTCTCTCTCACCCCCGGAAGTTGGTCCAATAAGATCACACTCAGTGTGAGACTGCCACCTAGTGGATTACTTTATTTTAAAAATTCCACAGTAATGTCACCTTTCTGGGCCTGGATTCGGACTAATGCCTATATTTGGGCTCCATCAGGTGTGTGATAAGCAAACTCCCCAGTTGAGCTATGGGAAAAAGAGCCACCAGGGTACAACTGCCCTGGTCTCACTGAGGAGAAAACCGGCGGCTCCTTGCTGAGCTGATGGAACACAAAAGTGGTCTAAGAAATAAAGTTGGCACAAGGAGAGCCATGAGGCCTCTCTTACCCGGAGAGGGGATTAGATAGGCATGAAGGGGGGAGTGGGAGAAAAGAGGTAAATGATAATTGAGGAACAGGAAAACAAGGTGCAATGTGGGAGTGAGGATCTTTATAATGTGGAAAAGGTTAAGTTGAGATGTGCAAGGAAATTCCATTAGTGGAGAGGACCAATGGGCAAGATAGAGCAGGGCGTAAGCAACAGGGTCTGTATGAGGGACACTGATAAAGGCAGAGCACAGAGCAACGAGTTGTAGTAAAAGGATGCTTGGTAAAATCATAGCAAGCAAAATACATCTATAGCCTTTATACCATTTTTGGTGGCTAAAAGGCTGCTGGGGATAGGAAGGATAATCTAGGGCAGTGGTTCTCAATCTTTTTGGGCTCAGGACCCATTTGCAAGTGTTTATGGTCTGTCATGACCCAGTAAATAGGGAAAGGAGCTGGCACACGACCCTCTGAAACATTCTGGCAACCCAATTTTGGATCCTGACCCTCAGGTTGAGAAACCCTGATCTAGTGGATAGGAACTTGGAACACCTAGCTCGGCTGGTGCGGTGTGGTGCTGGTGTGACTTTGGGTATGTCACTTAATCTACCCTGTGCCTCAGTCCCCCATATCTAATGGGGATATGGTTCCATACTTCTTGGGGTGACACATGGACAAAATCGATGTGTGATTGGGAGGTGTCATGTCATGCTATGGAGATGACAGCTAGTAGCTAGACAAAACAGCAGTGCTCTCCCCTGCTTTAACACGTCACTCACTCTTACACCAACATCCCTAGGCCGTCTCGCTTGCAAGACATCTTTTAGCCTTAGAGTAGTCAAGCAGAGAGAGAGAGTTTGAGAACAGAGCCCCTGGTGGATCAGCACAGCACTGGGCCCGGTGTACTGGGCAGTCTTTCAGAATAACCACGGTCACAGTCACCGTCGCTACAAAGGAGGAATCTGTTGAAATG